AAAGGGGGGGGGGGGACTCTAATATGAAGGGGGAATGTGAAATCGGGGAAGCTGATGCAAAGGAGCTGTTGTTTTCTGTTTGTTTTGTGTAGGGTCCCCCCTTAAAATCCATACCAGATCCCTTTCTAGGCTAAGGGTCTAGTCATTTATAGACTGGAATGCCTCAAGATTTCGAATATTTTTTAAGGATGCCACGACTGAAAAAAGGTTGAGAAACATTGCTCTAGAGGACACTGTGTATCTGACAGCATCTGTAGCTAAGCACCTGGGCATCAAGTGCTGCAAAAAGAAAAAAAGCCCATGAGTGTGGGCCATTAGTGAGACACAGTTTCAAAATGATCATAATGATCAGGTATTTTATCAACTGTTCCCAGGGACTTTTTGGGTGGATTTGTCATTTATGATTGAAAGTTGGACTATGTTTTTTGCATGACGTTTTTGAGACAAAGAATGCTCTGCTGCCTTCCCTGTGTGACATTGCTTGATGCGTTAGCTGCCACACACTGTGTCTAGCATTGGCCATGTAATGTGGAGGGGCCACGGAGGGGCCACGGACATGCGTAAGCCTATTTAAATAATTAATTTCTAAAAGTTGGCATTTGCAAAGGATATTCTGTGAGTTCCAGTGGCACTGTGAATATGATATTTGTAACACGTGGTAATGTTCTCCACCTTGTAGTGTCTACTTTTTGCACGTTGTGCTTAGTACACTTTGAAAATAACCCCTAAATAATATTTTTCTAGGAATCCCTTAGGCAGCTTTCACAAACTGACATTATGAGTGAACCTGTTCAAAGTTCATGATGGTTTGGCAGTGTGAGATAATCTGCTGCTGCCATTGGAGTGGAAAAACAACAAATATTTTCAGCCATTTGTTCCATCTATTTGAATAAGAAGAATAAGACATAGTTGACAATGTAAAATCTATAATATTCTATAAATGGGTCTGTAACAACTGCATCACTTACTAAGCGGTAGTTTTTACACATAAACCTGCAGTGGACCATGCTCCCTTAGTTGTAGTGATTTTACACTATGAGGTAAAATATGCAATTTTTGTGTCATAGAATTATGTCATAGCATTTGAGTCAGACAGGTCCAATGCGGGATGGTGACATTTTCTGTCTACCAGCTATTCTGCCGTCTTCTCTGCTATTTATTACGGAACAGTAAAAAAACTTAACAATATAGGGCTCTTTTGGGGGTTTTTTCTCTGCGGCATATGTGCTGGCAAAACATAGACGACTCGGACCACGGCACCCACAAACAAACCAGCACCACAGGGTTCTGACATTACCCCTCTCCTCAAACACTGCTCTAATCAACAGTATTCATTCCCTGAGAGGTAAGCTGCTGCCTGTGTCTTAGAGCAGGGGTCCAACTTGCTTTTAGCACAGGGTAGTTTAACCCGCTTAGCAGTAAAAATAAGTACAGTGGTACCTCGGTTCACGAACTTAATTCCTTCCACGATTCTGGTCGCAAACCAAATCAAACTGTGATCAGACTGCGATCTCGACTAGAGGAAGCCACAACCATGTGTCAGAGCAGGAAAGATGGCTGCAGTTGTGTTGGTCACCCGATGCGGAGTTCGCGAACGGAAGCAAAATTTTGCCGAACTTCCTGTTCGCGAACCGAATTGTTCTCGAACAGAAGCGTTTGTGAACCGAGGTACTACTGTAGTAGTAATAGTGAGGGTTCTCTTGGCCTTTAAACTCCATTCAAAACTACATGTCTGTGCGATTTCACTGCAGAAGGAACAGTGTTTGTTAAATCTGATAGATCTAGTGGCACAAGCATCTGCTACAGGGGGAACAATGTCTGTACATCTTTACAGACATCAGATTTTTGTTTCTCATGTGATAGCAGTTTTATTATTTTGAATGTTCAGAATATTTCAGATTGTAACATTGCATCTGTATTCCACTTTAGCATGAATATAATTATCATAGAAAGTGTTGATTAAAATGCAAAATGTGAAATCCATTATTTTAAACTCCAAGTTAATCTGCCTCTATTAATTCACATTTTCTATATTTTATGCTTACCTGCGTTCTCATAAAGAGCCGTGTGCAAATACAGGCAGCCTATCATTAGCAGCGCCAAATTAGCAGCTCAAGTTTATTTCTTTGACAGTCTTTCGCCTTTGTTTCTCTCAGAGATTTCCAGCTTGTGACCTCGTTTATGTGCATGTTTAATCAATAAATCTTTGTGATATATATTGGCATAGCGATTTTCCCCCTTTTTCATGCATCCTTTTTTTTTTTTTTTTGGTATGGGCAATGGTTTCCCGCCGAGTATAGATTTGATCCTCCAGCTATAATGACTAAATCCCAATTTTATGATGAAGGAGTTAATGATGGTAACAATGTCCAGCTGTTTCCCACAAATCGTTTATATGCACTTTTTCGAGGACAGATTCTGTTAAAAGAATGATGCCATAAGATAAAGGCTACCAAGGCCTACTCTAAAGCTGCCCATACACCTTACGAATATCGGACGAAACTTTTCGTCCGATGATCGAACCGTCGTACGATTTTCGTACGACGGCCACATCCTGCCCCGATTATCGAAAGGTTCAATCAGCGGTAGTTAAAAAGCACCTTATAGAATTCACACCAATATAATGGTATGCATCTGAACTACCAATTCATGTTTATCAGAGTAAAATGTATTTTAATGTAAAAAAAAAAATCCCTCTTGTTCTTCGATTTGTAAGCTCCTTTGGGCAGGCTTGTCAGTCACAATTATGATTTATATATCACAATGTTTTGTTGTTGTTGTCCCACTGTCCAGAGCTATACTGATATTGGCAGTACATAAAATCGTATATTTACATTTAAATTGACTGACTTTATTTGTGTGAGATGTGACTAATAAACACAACCATTTCCTGGCTCATGATATACTTTATCTGGAACAGTGAAGTTTTATCCTTTTTTTCGCTTTATATTTAGTGCAGCTGAAAGATGTGTCCCTGGCCTATATACCATAGAAATGCTGAAATTGATTTGTAGACCTCCAAATGCCTCTGCTACCTTGTCATATGCTTCGTACACTATATGCCCAACATTACTCTGTGTGTCGTAATGCATCTAGTACATTGTAGTAGATTCATAGGCCTAGAGCGCTTTAGGCTCGCAAGGATGTTATTTGAGCGCCAAAGGTATTAACAGTTTAAATTCTGAACAGGTTATCACAATGTATTTAGTTTAAAGGGGAACCATAATCAGGCTTGCTTGAAATTTTCAGTTTTAATAGGTTATTGTAACCAATATTTACCCAAGGAGAGTATTTGCTGTCCAACTTAAGCCCAACTTTGTTGGGTATAATTGCTGTTGGAGGGTAAGGCGTAGTAGTAGGGATGCACCGATACTAGTATCGGTGCTGATGCCGAGTATTTGGGCGAGTATTCGTACTCGCCCAAATGCTCCGATACCTAGCCCGATACTTGAGCTTCCGGTATCTGGAAGCCGGGCAGCGAGTCATTACATGTTGGCCGGTAAGCTGGCTCCATGCTTCCTCGTCACGCTCTAATTCACAGAGTCACATAATGGGAATACCCAATAGCAGCTCATTATCTACTAATTTTTTGATGACATTTTAAATTATGATTAATCTGCAGAATTAGTTTTGTGATTTTTGTGAGCTAACAAAATGTTTTCTTTTAGACGGCAGATTGAAGAATCCTCAAAACCGAAGAGACAATCACAGCAAATTGAGAAAGCTATAACAACTAATTACAAGCCAGTGTCCAATCATCAGTATAATGTAAGTAACTCTTTTTTTTGTGTCTTAGCGCTATGGAAATATTGCCAACCTTTTGGGCGGTATCAGGATTTGTGGTGTTTTTTTGTTATGCTCTGTCTCTTTCATGTCACTTCGTAGTCTTGACTTTTGGGTATCAATACACTTGGGGCATTGTGGATAGTAATGATTGTGGCGTGACTGTCTTGCTACTATTGTTTTGGCCTAAAAGACCAGTGAGGAGCAGTCTAAAATTGTGGACTATCTTAAGCAGTCTACACAAGGATGGGTACTGTAGGGATGATCAGATGCTGAAAACATACCTTCTCCAGCTGTCATTTTGATGAAAAAATTATGTAACTTACCACAGTCCTGCCACTGAACTGATGGAGGTTCCAGTGCATGAAAGACATAAATGATGTATGGAGGAAAACTCCATGCATAATTTTGTCACTTTGTTGCACTCTGATTTGTGCTATATAAAATGTGACATGCAAGCTCTGACTTAAAGGAGAATTATGAGGCAAGTGATTTTCACTCAGCCTCATAATCTGAGCCGACCTGTGACAATGAAACCATAATCAGGCTTGCCGTGAGTGACTATCACTCACGGCTCCCTGCAGGGATTCCCCCCTCCCCTGTCCGATCCTCCAGCGCTGACTGCCGAAGCAGACGGGGGAGGGGGCGGGCACAGCTGGCTCAGCCTCTGGATAGGTAGAGCCAGATGTCAATCCCGCAGCTGGGTGGATCCAGACAGTATTGTCGGGATCCGTCCCGGCTGCGGCGTCTCGGCGAGCTGTAGCTCGCAGTATACTGAGCTTTGGGTCACGGGAGAACGCTAGTTTGTGTTTTCCCATGACCTTTAGGAGAGCTATGGGGAAAAGCCCTGACCCCATAGTTCTCCTTTAATGGAGTTCTCAAGTACCAGCATATACAGGTGAAACTCGAATAATTAGAATATCGTGCAAAGTTCATTTATTTCACTAATGCAACTTAAAAGGTGAAACTAATATACGAGATAGACTCATTACATGCAAAGCAAGATAATTCAAGCCGTGATTTGTCATAATTGTGATGATTATGGCTTACAGCTCATGAAAACCCCAAGAACCCCAAATCCATAACCTCAAAAAAGTAGATTATTACATGCAATCAATAAAACAAGGATTGTACATAGAACAATATCGGACCTCTGAAAAGTACAAGCATGCATATGTACTCAGGACTTGGTTTGGGCCCCTTTTGCAGCACTTACTGCAATTACTTTTGCACGATATTCTAATCGAGTTTCACCTGTACAATTTTGTTATAACATCAGCATTGTAATAGGAATACATATTTTAGTTGTTTTTGATAATGCAATCAAAGCAAAAATCCCTGTTATGTAGTGAGAGCTGCCTTCCGTCTGCCCATCACTTTCAACAACTTCCCGGATTCCCAGTGTGCTTTGCATCTCTTTCCCTTCTGCTTGATGCGATACAATATTAATTTCTCAAGACTATGTAGCCCAGCATGCATTTCTTCCTGCAAGCAATGATGTTACATTGTGGGAAGATCAGAGGTTGAGTTCAGACAGCAGGCTTAGAGTGGTGACACAAGGAAGTGCATATTCATAGGGCTGAGTGAAATTGTGTCAGTGCATTTAGAAACTACATCCTATGGACATTTTCAATAAGTACGTGTACTAACTTCTAGATCGATATGCTTTTTAGGAGTATGTTAGATTTTATGGCGTTTAAATATAGAAGTTTTTTTTTCTGCATTTCCGTCAGATAATGCACCACTTCGCTCAGAAAATTTGTTGCAATTATTTTGTCCAGTCCATCTTTGGAGTTTTGCGTGGATTGTGTCATATTTGTCTTTTTTTTTTTTTCTTCTCTCCACTTTTTTGTGTCATACCAATACAGACAAAAGACATAAACATGAGAATGCCTAAACATTTGTAATTGCAACAATTTTCTGCACAAAGTGGTGCATTATCTGGCAGAAATACTGGGATGCTAATATTTTTGTCCATGGCTGTAGATGTTCCCTAGCCTATCAGCACATTGGACCAAAGTTGTGGCAAAAGGGAAGTACACTTCAGTGAAGATCCCAGACCCCAAAAATCAGATATAGGTGTTCCCCGATCAACACATAGTGTCAAAAGTATGACAAAAACACACAGCCTTTTAACATATTTTAACCCTTTCAGGTGTAAATCATAGTGATTTGAATTAGAATTGTAGTATTTTTGTAATTCCTCCATCCTGATGATCGACTTTTTGATGAGGAGGCTCTGGTTCATTCTCTTGGTTTTGATCGTCGCTGTCAGTATAATATTAGAGTGTGAGTTTTTTGTATTATTTCTTGCTCTTTCTCAGATGCATTTAAACAAGAATATCAACTATAATAAAGTTCACCCACCTTTATTGCTATTTATCCAGCATAGAAATGTGATGTGCAAGGAGATGAACCTGCACTATACTGCTCTGTTATTTCATTGTTGGGTTCCTCCACAGCTCACAAAGCTGAGCTGTAAATTACTGAGGAAGGTGGTGCAGACTAGCATAGTAAGTGATGTGGTTAAACCTAAAAGGTGAGCAGGAGAGAAATTATCTCCTTCCTCATATCAGCTTTAGGGGGTGTAAAATCATGTGACATTTTCTCTGACGGCATGACTGTAAATGGATCAACTATAGTATAGGTAGATGCAGACAATTGCTTTATTTTAGCTCTTTATTAGAACAAATACATATGTTCTCTGCAGTATGCAATTTTTGAAAATAATGTGAGTACTGTATGCTTTTCAATGACTATAATGCATTTTGACAATACAGATAGTCACATATTGCCCCATAGCCTGCAAAAACTGCCTCCTGCTTGCCTTAGAATTAGCTTATACAGGATGAGCATAATGAGATCAGACAGACAGTGGCCTCAATACACTGGAGTGTATGCCAGCAGCTCTATGACTTTTCTGAAGTTTACAGATGAGCTCTGTGACTGCGTATTTAATGGCTTTACTTGGTACCACACTACATAAAGGCTGTGTCATGTGTATAATAATTTTGTGGCAAGCATGTTTTGGCAAAGTAAATCTATACTAAGACTTCTGATATCCCTGCATGATTTTAGGTAAAAATCAGTGTTTACATGATATCTAGTCAATTGTATGTTGATGTTAAAGTGACACTAAATTCAGGAGTTAAATGTTAAAAATACATTCAAGTACCTGAACTATTAACAAAAATGTATCCTATTTGCGTATCACCCGGCTGTAGATCCTCAAATCATCTCTGAATTGGTGATGACACTGTCCTTCCTTCTGGAGGGTGGCTACGTAAACCCCTGATATTTCCCTTTTAATCAGAAAAAGAGATTCTTTTCAGTCTCTTTTCTGCAGTCCCTGTTATAATGAACAGGAATCCTCTATGAGTTTTCCTGTTCATAACTTGTGGAGATAGTATGTCTACCATGTCCACAATCATGAATGAACAGGAAATGATGTAGCACACAACCCATTCATTCATAATTGCGGACACAGTAAACATACTCTGTCCTCAATAGTGTGCAAACACTCAGCGATCACTGATTGCTGACTGCTTGTACCCGCTCTCCATCCTGACTCGCTCTCACAGCATCCACGGTGTGGGGGGAGGAGTCAGCTGT